AGAACGGATTAACCGTATTTACATTGAACCTTATGGGAAAATTTGATTTGGGTCTCAACCAATAGAGGTCGCGACCAGAGTCGCAGAACAAATTAAGTTCGTGACCCGAGGTACCACTGTATTTCATTTCCAAGACCTAACCTACAGATAATGGATGGATGGTGTGTGTGTCTAACATTCTCACTGTCTCCAACACTGTGAGAGGAAGATTGCAGTTTTTTTTTCTATTGTAGTAGTTGTTTGAGGAAATTAACATATAGGCCAGTGCAGTCTGGTCAAGGTTTATGATCAGGGATTTTTACATGTATTTACTTGACAGTAAATGCATAGTAGCCCTAGGTGTGATTAGCAGTCCTATTGAGTCCAATGGGGATTGGTTCAAAGCTCAAAGCAATAACGAACAATTAAGAACAAAAAATAGAGTTACTTTTAAGAAGCTCTGACTTTTTTGTACAGTCCTTAAATATTTGCTGCTATATCCAGATTTGAATCTGTCATGTACCATTTTAAACTATTTTATTATTTCACAGGTATTTAAAATTTTTAACTGCCTGGATCAAGTAGCAGCAGAATAACTTTGAACAATCATCCATCATGAATGCATTTAATGAAGATTGAAAGACATACAAGAAGGTAGTATTGTTTCCATATTTGGAATGCATTTATCCTTGGTAACATTATTTTCAGTGGCAGCAAGAGTACAAAAATATTTTGTGTCCTTTGATACATGACGTCTGTATGAAGCTGTTTAATTGTACTATTAATTTCAATGTTTTTATTCACTTCACTAACCCCCAGCCTTTTCTTTTATGTGAACTACTACAACATCATCAAAAGCTTTTGAGGATCACCACTTAAGCCTTGGGTTGCGTTCACCACAGTATACAGGACCTTTCCCAAGTGGCATCTACAGGATTCTAAAATTAAATAAAAATGAATTTATATGTTAAAACATTTTTCAGTTGCTAAAATGTGGGCTCATCAAATCTTGCAAGATTTTGGCAAGATACATTGACAGTGTAATGAGATTTTTGCTAATGAAAAAAAATGGAAAGATCCATGGGTTCAAACCTATAGTACCCTTACTGATTACCAGTTGTCCCTAGAATATATGTTGTGGACCATTGTCATAATTTATTCACACAGATCTTGAAATCTTATGTTAACGTGTGTTTCTGTGAAATTACCATAACACTAACATCATATTACAGTTAATAAAATGTATAGAAAAATATGTACTCTATTTACCTATTAAATTATATAAAGCTGTTTACATTTCACATACTGTATGCTGAAAACAATTAACAAAATAATTTTCATGGAAAGTCAAACTAAATATTGGTGTGTCTGCTAGGGTTATTTTTAAAGTTTCACAATCAAGATTTATGTTTTATGACTATCAGACAAAAATGGAGGATGAATCCTGTCTATTTAAAAGCATACATGATACTGTGATTACCAATATGGTTAATATTTATACTTAATCTCCCGTAGGTAGAGTTTCATTGTAATATCTTTTTTTTGCACTATTTGAAAAAAATATTTAAAATATTCCAAGTTAAGTAAAAATTAAAATTTATGATTCTGATTTTATTAAATTTTAATTTTTACTTAACTTGGAATATTTTGGGAGTTGGAAGGGGTCATATAGACCATCAAGTACAACCCCTGTTCAATGCAGGAATCCAAATTAAAGCATCCCATAGAGATGGCTGTTCAACTTCTATTTGAAATGTCCAGTGATGGGGAGCCTACCACATCCCTAGGTAATTAGTTTCATTTCTGTCTTGTGAGAAAAAGCAAAAAAGAATTCGTTCTGCTTAAAAATGTTTTTATCAAATGACATTACACTATTAATAAAAGGTGAGGGGTCCTACATATATCCACAAATGAGGAGTTCCATGATGAGAGATGGCATGATTAGCACACTAACAAAATAAGCAAAGCATTCTGAGTTCCTATTACCAACTAAAATCCAGTTCTTGAATTGGATCGATGAGTACTCCCAAATCCACAAGCGTGCTTTTTCAAGGGGAAAGCAGATCTTGGTGGTAGAGGCCCCTGAGATACAAGTAGTCACTGGATTAAGAACGCCCAGGTTACAGATGACCCATAGTTAGAATGGAGCCTGTTGAAGCAAAATTTGAGTTAAATACACAATGGTTTGAGTTCATTATGCAATATTATTTATACAGTATTATACAATAATACTGTTCTGACTTACAGGTAAATTCAACTTTAGGACAGACCTTGGGAACTGAACTCATTCTTAAACTTGGTAAGACAGAGTGGCTGTCGGTTGGGGGCTCCCCTGTATCCGGACGTTTACCATCTTTGGTTCTGGATGGGGTGGCACTATCCCAGACAGACCCAGTGTGCAATCTGGGGGTCCTCCTGGATTCACGACTCCTGCTCAAAGAGCAGATGGCAGTCGTGTCTAGGAGGGCCTTTGCTCAACTACATGTTGTGCACCAGTTACGCCCTTTCCTGGATCAGGAGTCCCTCCAGTCAGTCACTCATGTCCTAGTCATCTCCTGCATAGACTATTGCAATGCGCTTTACATGGGGCTACCCTTGAAAAGTATCCGGAAGCTTCAGCTGGTTCAAAATGCAGCCGCACGGGCAATTTTAGGTGCCCCAAAGATGGCACATGTTACACCTTTGCTGCGTGAGGTGCACTGGGTCCCAGTTTGCTTCCAGGTCCAGTTCAAGGTGTTGGTTATCACCTCTAAAGCCCTACATGGCATGGGACCAGGTTATCTGAGGGACCATCTCACCCCCATTATATTGACCGGTCCCACCTGGTCAAGCAGAGAGGGTATGCTGCAGACCCCATCAATGAAAGAATGTCGACTGGCGGGGTCCAGAAAGAGAGCCTTCTCTGCCATGGCCCCTGCCCTATGCAATACCCTCCCCCCAGAGGTGAAACAGGCCCCAACTCTCTGCTTGTCCTTCTGGAAAGCAGTCAAGACCTGGCTCTGTCAACTGGCATGGGGCGAAAAAAGGGGCAACCAACCCTGGGGGTGGCTAGCACCTTGAAGATGCTCCCATATGCTTACTGATCACTAGCATCTTGTAAGATATTATTATTTGCTTATGTGTTTGGTTTTATTGTATTTTTACTGTATTTTATACTGTTTTTATTGTATTTTAAGTAATATTTATTTCTTGTTTTATTGTGAACTGCCCAGAGTCACTTCTTTGTGAGCTGGCCAGTATCTAAATTCTAAATATAAATAAACAAACAAACAAACAAACTGGGGACCACCTGTACTTAGTTTTCCAAACAGGAGCATTTCTTCTGTCTTATATAGTATAAGCTTCATGTTATTCACCCTTGTCTAGCACATTACTGCAATAAGTCACTGATTTAGAGATTAAGAATCAAAACCATTTTAACAGCGAATCTGAGTGGTGTAAATAGTGTTTTAGTCTGTTGAAGTGTCCTGTCAACAAGTTAGGATACAATATTGATCCTTGGAAAGAAGGCTCACAAATTAGAGTCTTAGTGACCTTTTATGGGATGATTTATATGATCTGAAATGAAACCAGAGTATTGAGAAATCATAATAGATGAGATGAGGCTGTCTGTGAAGAAGTGATGTCTCTTGAGGTTTCCTTCAACTAAACTAATTTTGTAAATTCAGACAGATTTTATTTAAATCAAATACTTGGTGCACATGAGAGATTTTTGGATTTTTCTGTAAAATATAATCTATAGAAAATTCAGTATGAGAAACTGAAGGAGAAAATGTAGAATGTATATTATTTCAGTGAGAGAGGGCAAATAACTTATGATATTTTCTTGCTGCAGGTTAGTTGAAGTGGCTTGACTTACTTTATATGGAACATTGGACTCCTATTGTTCCTTGTTGTTCTTAAATAAGCAGTATTTCCAGGAGGCCAAAGATCTATTTCTGTTTTATGACCTGCTGTATCCTTAAGGCCAGGAGGCCCAATAGACCCAGTAGAATAAGAGGGTCATTGCCATCATACAGGTCCTAATTGTTGCTTTCTGGTTGCCACACAGACACCAAGGCAGCTTTGGAAACATCTGGTAGCAGGAGTGGGGGAGGGGGGCTCCGGGCATTTTGTTTCACCAGGTGCTCAGAGGAAGCAACAGTCGCTTTTTGATATGGGAGTTAAGTTCTCTGGTCCCCGAAGTGAAGTTGCAACAATTGCAGGGGTCAAAAGACAGCTGAGTGGGTCAGTGAGACACTGCGGGGTGTATTTTGTTACTTAGTAAAAGAAGGGACATCCTAAAACCTTTAAAGGGTTTTCTTGAAATCTCTGCTGTGGGAAGGTTTTATGAGTCTGGTGGCAAAAAGTGCTGATTTAGGTAAGGAATGCTGCTTTTGTCTAACTGAAAGGACAACCCTTACCAATGTTTGCAGCTTTGGTAGTACATTCAGTGAAAGGCAGGGAAACCAAATTACAGAATGGAAGCCCTGCCCTCTTTGGCTTTCCAAACTTAGGCTTTTAAATTGTTTTTCGCTCATCCTCGTAAGACTTGATCTCTCTTCCTTTCAGATTAAGTATTTTTAAATCATTTGTTATTTGGAAGAAAACAGAGTAGAATTTGCTTTTTTGTCTTAGATGAAATGAGAGTGGAACATCAAAAGTTCTTCACTTCAGCTTAACAGAGCTCTTTTTAAGTAGATGCTAAAAGGAAGGACCTCAGTTTATTAAAAATAACAATTTAGAATGGAAGTCTTCAGCCACCAATCCTTTTTGTTGTATTTAAACTAGAACTCAGAGACAAAGACAGAGGGGACATGTGTTCAGATTAAAAATACAAGGGGAGAATAAACCATTAGCACTTGCCCAAAAATGTTGGAATATGCTAAGCAATATAGGAATGGCTATTTTTGTCTGAGACAAATTATTTGTCTGTCTATTTTAATACTGTCTGCCTGTTTTATGTTCAGATAAAAGAAGAATGCATGTATTGTTAGGTACCAACTTTTTCTTTTTTCTTTTTTCTTTTTCAAACAGTAAGATTTCAAATGATTGTGGGTTCTTTTTGTAGCTACAAAGTTGCAAATACAACATTGACATAATCAGGCAGTGGGAGGAGTGAGAAAAGATATTCCTTTTCATGTGCGAGGAAAGACGTGAAAGAGGAACATATGCATAAGTATAATTCCTTTTGCTGTAATTAATAAATCTGACCCTAATTTTCACAGGTAGCTGAATTGGAAAACAGTACCATTCAGGAAAGAAGAGAATGATATAGTTTTAAAAAGCAATTTCTGTTGCTTTATTGAGAGTATTAAGAAATCTTTGCCTTTTGTTGGATTTTTAAGATCTCTTTGTGAACCATAAATATCAAAAGTTACTATCACATTTTTCCTGTTTTACCCTATCTTTGGTCTCACATATAGGAAAGAGTGAGTTGTGCCTTACTGCATCTTGTTTTCTTCCATATTCTTTCCCTTATTCTACATGGATTCCTGGAAAGAAATGGGGAAGTTATCCAAGCATGACAAAGGCACTCTTCTCTTTCTGTTGCTGTGGAATATACTGGAATTGGATGGTGAGAGATAGCATCTCTGTTGCCATGGCGCTGGAACATCATCACCTATTCCCTTCTTGATCAACTTATTTATTAAGTGAGATGGTTTTTCAGTCGC